CTGATGGCAGGATCCTCCAAAATCTAAAGTCACATAAAATTAAAGTAGAGATAGTTGTATGAGAAGTATAATAGTTCAGAATACCTACTTGAAATCTTCATAAGAACAATCAAATAGAACTTACTAGATCAGTTGTTCCAAGCTCTAGTACACCATCCATGATAGGGATGCACACCACTGTCTGCAAATAGACACCATGACAAACCAAAGCATAACTCGCCTAGACATATTTTCACTTGAAGATTATCGAGAGAGACTATCACGGTGTAATTGGTCATTTGAAACTAAAACTGTAATCGTACCTGAATAGATGCACTCTAGATGATGTGTGACGTGGTCCAAATAAATCATTCCGCGAGTAACATATCAAAAATTAAGGCAGTAGCCAATTTTAGCTTCGTGTTCTAATTACATATTTAATTACAACATTGGAAAATTTAACTGGTTAGGTATACTACCTTTGCTAAAAGAGAGCGTGAAAACATCTTGCAATTTGCAAATTGAGAACCGTTCAACCAGATGTGTTGATTGTCTGCAAATGCTTTACCTGGCAATCTGAAGAACAATAGAAAACTAACATGTGTTAGAATTAAACTTATCAAAGGTGTAAGTTCATTAAATCAAGAGGTGAAACGTATTAAAGGTCTATAGAAGAATAAATCAAATTAACTATTGAATCCCCAAATGACTCTGACTGAAGTTATATATATTTCATGAATTCTATTTCCAGGATGTTTGTTCTTTATGATGTTCTAAAATAAAACTTTCCTCAGTTCGGTTTTCTGTTCATACTAGTTAGTAATTCAAATGAAACACTGCCTCGAGCTGTGGTTTTCTTTGTCTTTAAAAATAAATTCAAATTTATCGAAGGCATCCTAAGATATCTGGATAGACTTTATCTGCTTATTAAGATGGATTAGGTTTTCATGGGCATAATAGAGTTTCTGAATTCCTTTCTTTCGTGCATGACATAATGTGGCTGGCATAACAAGGGGCTATGTGATCGAACCTTCTAGGCTCTCAAGATATATGAGAGTTTATAAAAGATAGATTTATTAAACCAAGTCTAATAAAAGAAAGAGCAATGAATGTAGAAATATTAATATAACTTAAAAGATAAAAAAAATATATAAAAAAATTTTATTCATGATTTACCAAGGGCTTGATGATATAATGTTCGAGATCATTACTCCAGCAAATACTTTAAAAGAGGTTTGGGAAATGCTTCAAAGAGCATTTGGTGGTTTGGACAAGGGAAAAAAGCTCCATCTACAAGTTTTACGAGCTGAGTTTGAAAAATTACAGTAAAATTCTTTTGATTCTGTCTGATTACATCTCAAAATTATTCTATCATTCATCAAATAAGATGAAATGATGAACAAATAAGTAATCAAAGAGTAATAAAAAAAATACTAAGATCTCCAAAATTTGATTTTATTGTTATAGCAATTAAAGAGTCTAAAGATTTAGAATAAATATCTTTAGAACAATTAATGGCTTCTCTTGAAGTTCATGAACAAAGGCTTATAAAAAGAGAAGAAGAAAAATCTATAGAGCAAGCATTACAAATCAAGCTTACTCTTAAAAACAAAAGTGAATCAAAATCTTTAAAAAGAAAGAGGTCATGGACAAAGAGGAAGATATAACAAAAATCAAACTAATCAAAAATTTTAAAACAATAAAATTGATAGAGAAATTTTAGCTAAAGAGGCCGAGGTTATGGTTGAGAATATCTTAAAAGAAAATAAAGATATTTTAAGTAAATTCAAAGAATTTAAGAAATGGTTAAAAGATAAAGTAATTATAAAATTAAATGTTTAAGAATAGATAGTGATGATAAATACATGTCAAATGTCAAATGAATGTAAAAGTTTTTATCAAAATAATAGAATTTTATATTAATTCACTATGTCACCCCTGAACAAAATGATGTCTCAAAAAGAAAAAATAAGACTATACTTAATATCGTTTGAAGAATTTCTAAAGAATATTAGGAAAATGGTATTACTTGTGTGGTTTATTTGCTTAATAGGTTTGTGACAATGCGAATTAGTAATGTTATATGAGCATATAGAATCCAAGAGTTGATCATTTGAGAATATTTGGAAGTGTTACATTTGCCGAGGTTTTAAAGAAGGGGTATATGTTTAATAACATAGGTTTAATTATTAATGAATAAGAAGATAATGCATACAAGTTAAAGAGAGTTCTTTATGGGTTTAAATAAGCCCTACAAATATAAAATTCTTGAATATATATTTATTTTATTTAAAATAATTTTTCTAAATGTCCATATAAACATGCTCGCTATATGAAATTTAACTCTAATGGAGATATCTTATTTGTATACTTGTTTGTGGATGATTTAATTTTTACAAGCAATAGTATCTCCATGATTAATGATTTTAAATACTCTATGAAGAAGGTGTTTGAGATTATTGAATCTTGAATTTTGATGATTAAATCAATTGATGAGTTTATGGACTAATAAGTGTTTAAGATAAATGACAGGAGAAACTTTAATCATAGAAAGACAAGTCGTTGAAGCAAGAGAACCAGATGTTGAATCCAAAAGTATCATGTTAGAGTTCAAGTATTGCACCAAGAAGATCAAATGTTATAAGAGGTCAACATATCGATGGATCGAGCAATACACTAAAGGAAAGGACGATGTGACGAAAGTTCAAACAAAGTGCTAAATGAACAGATGACATGATTTAGATATCATGTATTATGGATTATGTTAATGATCATGATATATCTTTATATTTCATTGACACAAAATATCAATTAACAGATATTTTTGCTAAACCATTGAATGAGGAATAATTTGATTTTATTAGAAGATAATTAGGCTCGTTGAATCCTTCAAATGCATGAATTCTTCTCATATTGATCATTATCTTGATTTCTCGCTGTTTATG